ACAAGGCAGCGTATTGTGGCAACTCAGATCGGATTCCGATTTAGATGGAAGTTATTTTTGACTAAAATATTTGAAATATTATAAAAGAACTCCAAATTTTTCAGATAAAATATAGATCACTCTTGGTATTATTTTATATTTGTTTGTGAATTTTCTTTACAATCGTTGAAACTATTCCGAAGATTACCCCGGACAAACAGTATAAGTTGCTTCCTTCGGTTTGTTACTGTGGCTATACTATGCCGCGCCTGAATTACAGACAAAAGTTCCGTCCTTTACGACACTCAAATCGTAAAATTAAAAAATTTGTACAGCCGGCTTCAATATATAAAATTGAGAACATCATCAATGTATTCGAAGTCAATAAAATAGGCAATATATTCTTTTTACTTTTTAAGGATAACTCAAAAACTACTGTTCAGTACTTGATAAAATTTATATGGGACCACATGAGAACTGGTACTTTAAAAAAAATTTATGTTCACGCACGATTGTTACACTTCCATCACGCGTATCGAGCGGGGTGAGGAAACGGTTAGCGTTGCGTCGTACGCGCACAGCATGCGTACCAGTCTGCAAGAACCATTGACCGCTGCAGCCGTGCCGGTGTTACTTAAGAATTGCAGCGGCCTCCTTGTGTTATCTTATTTGTACGTATTCGTGATAACAAGGCTTATTCTTGGGTTATTTTTGCGCGACTCCCGGGTCGATTTAGAGGTCGCGAGTTTGATATAATTTTTGCGTCACTTGTAGACGGCCTCGATGGTGTTGTTTTTGGGTCGTTAATATACGTGACAACGAGGCTTATTCTTGAGCTTATTTGAGCGAAGCCCGGGTCGATTATACATCGCGAGCCTCTTAAAGTGTTATCTTAATTTTTATCCTTGATAACGAGGCCGTAATTATATAATTATTATTGTAACCGTTTTAAGTATTGTTTGTGACTGGCATACGGTTGCGGGCGGCCGGTGTTTGGATTTGGGAGGCCTAAAATCTGTGTTAATTGTGCCCGCCATTTTGAATTGTTATTTAATATTTCGGTCTAATTAGACCGCCTCGAATTTAGTTGTCTCTTTTGAACGTGTTACGTGAAAAGAGGACTACTTGGAGTTCGAAGTGATTAAAGAACCTTTATGACGTTAATTGCATTGACGAGTTAGTAGTTTTGTGCTAAGTGAACCTGGGACCTTGAACTTTGACCAAACATCCTTAAGTTGTGCAGCGTGCCACTTGTTTTAATGTCGATTAACGTTGATTTGGTTGAATTTGAAGTTTATTATTTACTGTGGGCCCTAGCTCAATCGACCTTTGTCGGGGTAATTCAGGGCCGTAACAATAATCATCAAATTCGTTCCACTTAGAAAAAGTTCTGAGATAACACACAAAAAATACAGTCGAATTGAGTACCTGCTACCTTTTGAAGTCAGTTAAAAATAGTTACTCATACAGTTAATGGCATGCAAGTAACTCCTTCAGTTCAATAAAAGGTAATAATTTCAACAATTCTATTTTACTAATATTTTTAAATTAATAAATTCTGTTTAACTTTAAAAAAGTTCTTTCGCTTTCTGAATTATTTTTTTAATTTGAAATAAATTAAAAAACTGTTGTAACCCTATTAAATAAAAAAAACTTCGATTAATTTGTCGCCATTTCACTTATTAATTTTTACCGTTATTATTAAATTACTTTATGAAATGGCTGATGAATAAAACAGAATTGCAGCACTGGCAAGTTAGTTTACGTTAACCTATACACTAACACTGACGCACGCCCTGTCGTCCGATCCCAAGAATTTAATCGTAGGGCTACCTAACCACTCAGCTTATCCCCAATTGCAATCTCTCACCCTTTTACTTATAATTTTTAGAGAATTATGTAACAGGTATGCTAGCACACGCTTACACACATGCACACACACACACACACACACACACACACACACACACACACACACACACACATACATACACACACACACACACACACACACACACACACACACACACACACACACATAGACATTCATACACATTCACCCACAAGTACACGCGCGCCCCTTTTAATTAGAATCTGTTTGTTATGTCTGTAATTTTTTCATAAATTTTTAAGTCATTTTTGCTTTGCTGCACATAATTGTTTTACGTAATTTCGACAAATAGCCACTTTGATCAATTGTAAAATCTTTTGCTTGACCCCCACGAGACAGGCCATGCCTAGTGTGGGAGTCACAGAACTTATTGTATTTTAGCTACGTGTTTTCTGGTAAATAAACAAATTTATTTATTAAATTATTAACTGTTTTGGTAGTTAACACTTTCACTGTCTGATCTGTAGACACAATAGATAGACGATAGAAATGGAGTGGAAGAATTTTATTACCATACATCGTTATTCTTTAAGTATAGTCGTCAATACAGCCATCATAATTAAGCGACAGTACTATGGTGGAGTGAATTGTCAGTAAAACTAAAAATTCGTTTTAAAAAAAGTTTTGAATTCGCGAATGGAATACTGTCATGAACCACACCTTTTTATGTCTATCCCTTTTTTCCCCGACTTTTTAATCCCTATTGCATGTAAAAAATGTGTGTAAAAACATGTCCTTGTCCGTTATGTAGGACTCGCACTGACTAACACCATATGGTGTTCCACCTTTGCCGCATACATTCTCGATCTCAATGGCGCCCGCTACCTCACGGCAGCCCCTCGTTGGGAGAGGACTTCTCTTCCTCTTTAGGAAAGGAAGGCGTACCAGGAACACAAATCACACCCTCCTCCGCGATCTAAACTCCACCTGCGCATTGGACCCCTGATCTCAATAAGCGGTGGGCATGGGGTCAGGATAAAATAAGCACCCAGAAGCACCTACTTTCATGACCTCAGCGGCGGATCTGGTCAGTGGCCAAGTTTAGGCAGCCTCACCAGCATCGCATCAGCGACGCGGCCCCCGGGCGGTAGGGAGAGAGGACACCGCTCTCGCCGCAGTCCACCAACTCACATTTGAAGTGGGCTGGCCAAGCCCACTCGAAGTGGCCACCTCATACCAGTTCTTCACCTCGGACTAGCCATATGATTAACTAGCTAAGATTCTACGTGGCTGGCCCGAGGTGAAAGTGGCAATGATAAGGCGGGAACCCGTTCCAAGTGGACGTGAACCACAACAAGCATTTCAAGCTCAGTTGGAGTGGTTAACGGAGTATAAATGTTTTGCAATGTTGTTTTGAGCTTCAATTTCAATATTTAAACTTCTGTTGAGGTAATTTTGTAATATTACCTGTAAATTTAGCAAGGAGCGACCTATACTAAAGTTTATAAACGAGTTTGGTGTTAAATTGAAAATGGTCAAAATTAAGAACGAAATTTTTATCGGTAACGGTATACCGATAAAAATTGCAAATGAGCTTGAATATATATTATATTTTTTTATTTGTTTAAGGCTTTACGAGCGCACTTAATGATCTCATAAACATGCAAAGAAAGGAGTGCACCTGTATGTTTATTTCTTTAAGTGGTGATCGCAATTACATAAAGGACCTTGTTGTAAATGGTTTTTATTGCTTGCTTATGTGGCTTATATACGTATATATATATATATATATATATATATATATATATATATATATATGAAGTGCAAACAGAATATTGTATGTTGCAGGAGCCAGTGGCCTTTGCCATAACACTGCACTATTAATTTATGCCTTAACATAAGATACTTTATAAGTTATTAAACAGGGCTACTTACAATAAAACGAAAACTAATAAAGAAATAGAATAGAATAGGATATTTTTTATTCAATATAGATTTTATGATGTAATTTTAATTGAAAGTCATTTTTTACTTTACCACTGGTTCGAAAAGAACCTATGTCATGGGAAACAGCTTGGAAGCGAAAACCTCATTCCCAGGGGTTATTATCAACCATGTAATTCATTTATATTGTAATAACTCTTTTTATATAGTTTTTGTTTAATTAAATATATAAACTTGGTAATAGAAAGACCTTGTATATTTTCTGGGACTTTGTTGTAATAGCGTATACATGGCCCCAAGAATGAAAGCTTGTGTTTAGTCCTAGTATTTACAGATGATGTACAATCGGTAAATACTAGGAATAAACACAAGCTTGCATCAAATTTTTCTTTGTTTTTGTGAACATTCATTTTCATAAACATACTAAGAGGTCAAAGTTAATATATTTATTTCTTTAAATTTTTCTCTAAGAGACTCTCCCGGTTTCAGGTTGTAAATAGCTTTTATGGCCCTCTTCTGCGAAACAAAATACATCTTCATAATTAAGATTTTTATTGCAAGTATTAATTATTGTAATAAATACAAGAAATACTTTCGAATACTCAAGTAACTCTTGTATTATACTCGCCGTTCCCAAGTAATTTTCTATATAATATGCATAAGTAAATTAACGGATATTTAAAGACTATTGGAAGCCATTAATATCTCTCACAATACTAAACGATGTCCGTAGACAATCGGTCGTGTTCAATATCCTAAACTAATACCGGGACTGACCTTTATGATGCATTATACGCCTTCGGACAATAGAGAGTAGTAATGGAGTCTGCGTCTGTCATATAACATTAGACCATTAGAATTTCAAGATAATTAAAATTATATGTAATTATTAATACGATACAATAACTTTGAATAATAAAGTTAATATTAAGATTAATTGCCAATATCAGCACATTTTACCGGGAAGCAAAAATAAGGTATATTATAAGGTGAACAACGAAGCAATAAATAGTTTCAAAAAAAAATTAAAATGCTAAATTTATACTTTGCGTATTTTATGGTATAAGTAACAGCAACTGGTTTAATATACCGAGTCCAGCAACTGAACTGTCGGTCTCGATCTAACTGTTTTAAAATTCGAACCACTGAATCGAACGCCACCAAAATTTAAAATGTTGTTTGACATATTTTCTTTCATGGTTTAATGTGATTTTGTTGTGAGATAAAAGATACTTTATTTAAAACGATGGATCTAAAACATAATTCAGTGATTGCTCTGTATTTGGAAGGAAAATCGAACATCGAAATTCGTCGAGCGCTGCCAAATCTTAAACTAAATGAGAAATTTGTACATCGCACTATCAAACGATATTCTGAGATTGGTAGCATTAAGAAACGCTATGGTGGAGGACAGCGTTGTACTGCAACGGCACCAGCAGTCGTCGAAAAGGTACGTCATCGATTGGACAGAAATCCAGCGCGCTCAGTAAATCAGCTCGCGCAGGATCTAAAGGTGAGCGACCGTAGTGTTCGTAGTAAATTAAAAGAAAAGCTTTAGGTCAAACCATTAAAAAAACATATCTCAGGAACTCACAGCTTTTCAACGTAGTGAACGGTTAGAGCGATCAAAAGAGCTGATTCGCTTGCTTGACTCTGGAGAGCTACCCAATTTGGTGTTTTCGGATGAGAAAACTTTCTGCGTTGAGCATTTTCTTAACAAACCAAATGACCGTGTATGGTTGAAGGGACGTGTCAGCAACCATGCGGACGAACTGCAAGTCACTCGACGTCAAGGAGCCGATCAAATCATGGTCTGGGCGGCGGTGTCCGAAAAAGGCCGTTCACCGCTCGTTTTTCTACCAATGGGTCGCAACCAAGTCAAAATAAATCAGCAAATCTATCGATACAAAGTCTTAATACCTGGGCTGATACCGTGGGCACGTAACACGTTCAGTTCTGAGCGTTGAACTTTCCAGCAAGACTCGGCACCATCACACAAAGCAATTGGAACGCAAAATTAGTTGAAAGCGAACGTTCCAGTGCTGATTGACCGAGATATGTGGTCGTCGTCATCACCCGACTTGAATCCGCTAGACTTTTGTATTTAGGGTGGTTTACAGGCCAAGGCTTGTGCTACAAAACACACGTCGGTGGAAGCGCTCAAAGCTAGTCTTACGCGATAATGGAATTGTTTAAGTGATGACGTCGTTCGAACAGCGTGCGTTTCGTTCAGGAAGAGACTCAATCTTCTAGTAAATGCTAAAGGCGGTTTTATTCCATCGAACTAAGCCATAACATAACTTTGAACCATCTATTATCACATGTAAAAAGCGTATAAATAAATATTGAAAGTTAACAAAAATAATTTATTTTATTTATTTTCCCATACGGACAGTTCAATCGCTGGATCCTGAGATACCTATGAGGACCCTATATATATACATATATATATATATATATATATATATCACACTAGTGAGATTTCTAATCATTTTTGCAGCTTATGCTGTAAAAAAGATTAGAGATCTCACTAGTGTTGAGACAGCTCGATTAGTTCATTTTAGTAATTTCCATAGCATTATACAATATGGGATTTTACTATGGCGAAATACAGCTTATTTAAAAACAATTTTTTTGCAGACGAAGACCATAAGAACTATTTACAATCTGAAACCGGGAAAGTCTCTTAAATAAAAATTTAAAAAAATAAATATTTTAACATTGGCCTCTAGGTATATCTTTTAAAATTTAATGTATGTTCATAAATAAAGGTACTTTTAATAAAAAAAGTGATATACAATCTGTAAATAATAGGAATAAACACAAGCTAGTAATACCATAAAATACTGATAAATAATGGTAATACCAATAAATAGAGTCAATAATTCATTCTTGAGGCAATGTATACGCTATTACAACAAAGTCCCAGAAAATATACAAGGTCTCTCTAATACCAAGTTTAGATATTTAATTAAACAAAACTATATAAAAGAGTTATTATAATATAAGTGAGTACATGGTTGATAACAACCCCTGGGAATGAGGTTTTCGCTTCCAAGCTGTTTCTAAAATAAAATTTGTAAATATTTTGTGACCACTGACATTGTAAAATTTATTTAAAAAAAATTCCCGCTGGGTTTCTTGCTGGTTCTTTGCAGGACAGAAGTTTTTTTCGAACCAGTTGTAAGTAAAAATGACTTTCAATAAGAATTACACTATGTAATCTATATTGAATAAAAATATATTCTATTTTATTCTATTTTGTTTCTTTATTAGTTTTCGTTTTCTTGTATTAACCTGTTTAATAACTTATAAAGTACCTTACGTCAAGGCATAAATTAATACTGCAATGTTATGGCAGAGGCCACTGGCTCCTAAAACACAGTTTGAGACTCTCTCTCTGGGAGACTATGGATTCAATGAAATATTTAATATTTTTTTATGTCAAATAATTTTTGTATTGTATTGTTTTTAATCTCATCAACAAATACAATGTACATGAAACTCGTACTTAATTCTGTTTGTGCTTCAAGTGCGTTTGAAGTCAATTTTGCAATTATTCTAGTTCTGAAGAGTTGTAATTGCGTTTCTTATTCTTCAAATTTAATTTAAAATATAAAACTGGTTAAAAAAAGAACATTTTAGCCCTCCAACAGAAATATCACATGATATAATTACTAATGGTTTATCAAATAGAAACAACTTATGGTTAAATTAAATATTAATTAACAAATTGCTAAATTTATTAATTTAAGATAAGTTAGTAGACAATATAATGTAAATAATCATCAAATATACTAATATAATCCTAAGCTATCATATACCATATACTATACTAAATACGTAGTTATTTGATTAAGAACTCTCAAAGCTCCTCTATTATATTTGCTTGTGTTATATCGCAATAGATATCAAAATCATGTCTTTAGGAAAGACATAAGCAATTCTCGAGCCCACAGTGCGGTGAGGTTCGCTGACTGACGATTTATCTCTGTCCGACAGTGGCTCGACGTGAACCACTCACTACGCCTATCCCGAGGATTATGGTCGCCCACTCCGAGAATTATCTTGAGGGACGGGCCGATAGTTAGTAATATTCAATCTTTAAGCGTCCGAAAACTTTAAATGAAGATATTTTTGTGTCTGTTATCGTCCTTTTATTTGACTTTGCTTTTCGTTAGGTTTTTTTTTATAAAAACCTACCCTATAATTTGTTTTCCATCCATCCATTTCAGCCTATAAATGTCCACTGCTAAACATAGGCTCTTCCCATAGATTGCTTTTTAATAAGGATTTTGCCATAGTTGCCACGCTTTACATGCGCGTTGGTAACTCAAAATTATGAAAAGCTTTTTTTGGGGTTGTTATCAGGAAAATATGGCTTCTCATCTCCTTTTCAGTTTCCCTCTGTCTAATACTACTACTACTACTACTTCTGCGGCACGATATGGGGTAGTGGATATTCTTACAAAGTTTGATAAACACGATAGTATCATAGTTCGTGGCTAGTGGTGTGGATCGTTACAACACCACACCCCATAATTATTAAGTATTTTATTTCTCTTTTGCTCTCTGTAGCTTTTGTGTATTCTTGGACTAAGAAATGATGTTAAAAATAGCCCTGTAATGTGTCACTTTATTTTGGCACAGACCAACAGACATGCAACAATATGTCTACTAATTTTTGGGCAAATCTTAAATTTAATAAATTTGGCTTTGTACGTCGAAAATGCATTAAAAAGGTAATTACATGCAAGATGTTGCCATAACGCTAATTTTCAGTAATAACCGAAAAACCTAGGAGAATACTGAACTGAGAGCAAACATGGTAGTGATATTTTAAACAGAAAGCCAGAGAAGCGTGGCTATCAGGCATGTATACACACAAAGTTCTAAAATTAACATCCGAAACGCTCATCAGAGCTCTAATGTCTCTAATGGTAGATCTAATGTCACCTTCACCTTATTCATTAAGCCGTGTCACTCTCAATTTTTCCAAGTCTAATACCCTCTACAAGACAACGTGGGTACCCTCCCGCGTCTTGTAGAGGGTACAATCTGCAATATGATTGTAGATCGCATTTATAATCTTGCATAAGACAAATAAAAATATCAATAACTATACACCCACCCTGCCTTCACACGGGCGATTTCTGGATCTCGACAATAGCGCCACATACCAGGTACAATTTTGAATTCAAACCATCCACCCTCAAACGGGGCACTCAAACGCATATAAAAAATCTTCAAAATCGTTCGAGCCGTTTTTGAGTTTTACTGCGAGTCTAACGGACAGCAAATGATTATTATATATAGTGATAACCCTGGTAAAGTAACTAAAGATTAGTCACTTATTATAATCTGTCAAATGTAATAAACTTGATTGTGAATGACGTGTGAGTGTGTCTTACGTAAGACATACAAAAAGATCAAAAAAAAACACTCGCGTAAAATTACTTGATTATTGCTATTTTGATGACCCTCTTACCTTTTTCTCAACTAAATAGAAGAGTTAACATCGTCGAGATCCATTCTTATGGATAAAGAGAGGCAATTTAATTAAAGTATGTAAGGTATTTAAATAATCATTTTTTAGCAAAAATTACCGACACCTACGAATCATCCTACCAAGCATGACTCTACTAAAGATGATTTGTAAGGCTAAAAATTAAAACAAATCCTAATTTCAATATAAAAGATGACTGAGTGCTGTTATCTGATTGGGATCCTATGATTAATGAATCTATTATATTATCCATAAAAAATTCGATCAATTTCTGTAAATTTAATGTTATTTTATTGGGTGATAAAGGAGGCTACTAACTAACTAACGAAGTCGCAAGATGTGGCACGGGCATTTGCGTCTGTGTGCAAACTGTGAAAATCGTGGCGTTTGAGGAGTTATATCGGCTACAAGAAGTTTTAAGGATAGGTTTTTATGATCTATTGATGCTGCGCTATGCCTGAACGATAGAGCTAGGCAATCATATGACAAGGCAACCTATGAAGAATTGTCGTAAACACATCATGCAATGTTTCGTCCTACGATTAAATATTTTTTTTTCAGGAAATATTTATGATAAGTTCAGGCCATGTCTGTATGTTTTCTTTTATTTTCACGTTTGTTAAATTTGGTTATTAGATGTTTTGCGTATGTCGTATACGAGAAAACCCTTGACTCTGTCGAAATTTAGGCGGTGCTGTATTCCCTTCAGCGGTACCAAATGGATGTTTCTATATCCTATTTCTATATCCGAGTGCTGAAGTGTTTGCAAAGTGGGGTTACGATGGCTATTAGAGTATAGAACCAGAGTAAAAAACCTATACAATTGCAGAGAAGTGTAAGACAGGGTGATGTTATATCCCCGAAACTCTTCACGACTGCATTGGAAGACGTTTTCAAGCTACTGAACTGAAAAGCATACGGTATTAACGTCAATGGTGAGTACATCACTCAACTTCGATTTGCCACCGATATAGTCCTTATGGCAGAATCGCTGGAGGATCTAACACTATGCACTATGCCCACCATAGTGTCTCTAAACGGATACGTCTTAAGATGACAAAACGAAAGTCACGTGTAATGTCAATGTCACACCCATGCCGATGGTTATTGGGAGCACTAAGCTCGAAGTTGTTGATGAGTATGTTTACCTGGGACAAGAATTCCGACTAGGTACTAGGTAAGTCCAACTTCGACCGAGAGAGGATGACCGAGAAAGAGGTCAATCGGCGGGTTTATCTCAGCTGGGCAGAGTTCGGGAGACTGCGACACATATTTTCGTCAAAATCTCAAAACTAGATTGTACAACTAGTGCGTGTTGACAGTGATGACCTATGGATTAGAGAAGTGGTCCTTCACTGCCGGCCGTATAAGGAAGGTAAAAGTTGCTCAGCGAGCTATGAAGAGGGCTGTGCTCGGAGTTTCTCTGCGTGGTAAACTTAGGAATGAGGATATTCTCAGTGG